ACCGGCTATCTCGATCTGACACTATGGACAAAGGTATGCCATGTCGCGAGACAACTTCGTCGATGTACAATTTGGCCAGCTTCTYCATAGGCAACGTTTCACGCATTGCTAAGAAGTGCGCACTCTTCGTCAATCGATCAACCACTACCCAAATCGTATCATTGCTTCTTAAGGTCTTCRGTAGTTTGGTCACGAAGTCCATTGTGATATGCTCCCATTTCCATTCGGGAATCTCCAAGGATTGAAGGCTRCCATAAGGCCGTTGGTGTTCCGCTTTTACTTGCAAACAGGTCAYGCACTTCTCTACATAACGAGCCACATCTAGCTTCATAACTGGCCACCAATAAGTCAGTTTCAAATCCCGATACATCTTGGTGCTGCCTGGATGAATTGAGTATTTAGACTTGTGTGCGTCTTCTAATAGCAGTTCGCGATTACCTCYGATCTTGGGTACCCATACACGCCCTCGAAAAAGCTTCAAGCCGCGACCATCCTCTGACAATAGCATGCATTGCTTCATCATTACTTCACTCTTGAGGTTTTCTTYCAAGAGCGCCTCAGATTGCGCTACCTTGATCCGGTCGATCAGGCTGGATATTACTTCGATTTTGGTGAGCACAGCTTTTGTTCCACTACCGTACTCCTTTCGGCTTAGGGCATCTGCCACTACGTTTGCCTTACCCGGATGRTATAGCAATTCACAATCGTAGTCCTTGAGCAGTTCGAGCCAACGTCTTTGCCTCATGTTTAGTTCTTTTTGATCGAAGATGTACTTCAAGCTCTTGTGGTCTGTAAAAAGAGTGCACTTGGTACCATAAAGATAATGGCGCCAAAGCTTCAAGGCGAATACCACCGCYGCTAATTCCAAGTCGTGGGTGGGATAGTTCTTCTCATGATCCTTGAGTTGTCTTGAGGCGTAGGCAATTACCTTTCCCCTTTGCATCAAGACACAACCCAACCCCATCTTCGAAGCATCGCTAAAGACTACAAAGTCTTCGGATCCTTTCGGTAGGGAGAGAATCGGGGCTTCACACAGCTTCTTTTGGAGAGTTCTGAAAGCATGCTCTTGCTTCTCCGTCCAGATAAACTTCACATTCTTTCTAGTCAAAGCTGTCAAGGAGGAAGCAACTTTGGAGAAATCTTGGATAAATCTCCTGTAATATCCTGCCAGACCCAAAAAGCTACGGATTTCTGAAGGACTCTTCGGTGGTTCCCAGTTCATCATCGCCTCAATCTTGGCTGGGTCTACCTTCACCCCGTCTCGAGTGACAACATGTCCTAAAAATTGCACTTCCTTTAACCAAAAGTCACACTTGGAGAATTTTGCATACAACTTCTCCTTTCTCAGCATTTCGAGGACTTCCCGAAGGTGATGTTCATGATCCGTTTCGTTCCTGGAGTAAATAAGTATATCGTCAATGAAAACAATTACAGATTTGTCGAGGAACGGTCGGCAGACCCGATTCATCAAGTCCATGAATACTGCTGGAGCATTCGTCAAGCCGAAAGGCAWGACCAAGAATTCGTAATGTCCATATCGCGTCCTAAAAGMTGTCTTCGCCACATCGTCCTCTTTCACACGTACTTGGTGGTACCCCGAGCGAAGATCGACCTTCGAGAAGCAACTTGCTCCCTGAAGCTGGTCAAAAAGATCGTCGATTCTGGGAAGAGGATACTTGTTCTTTAYAGTTGCCTTGTTGAGTCCTCGGTAGTCAATACACATTCTCATGGTACCGTCCTTCTTCTTCACAAACAAGACCGGAGCTCCCCACGGAGACGAACTYGGTCTAACGAATCCTTTTTCGAGAAGGTCTTGCAATTGCGACATCAATTCTTGCATCTCGGAAGGGGCCAGGCGGTAAGGTGCTTTAGCAATTGGAGCGRCTCCCGGAATAAGATCTATTTKRAATTCCACTTGTCTAACAGGGGGTAAACCAGGTAAGTCCTCTGGAAACACGTCAGGAAATTCTCTAACCACTTTCACGTTTTCAATTTTCCTTACCTCTAGTTTGGTGTCCAACACGTAAGCGATGAATGAGRAGCATCCCTTAGCTAGGCACCTACGTGCCTTCGCCATGGATAATAGTACTACATTCTCCTTCCTTCCTTCTCCATAAATTAGCATTGCGTCTCCGTTCGTCAAAGGTATCCGGATCAGCTTTTTAGAGCATAAGATTTYYGCTTGGTTCTCAACTAGCCAATCCATCCCGATTATGATATCGAATCCAYCTATAGTCATGGGTATGAGGTCCACTCGAAATTCCTTCCCTTCAATGCCCAAAACACAACCTCTAACAACTTCGCGCACCAAAACTTGACTACCATTGGCTATCTCTATGATTAATGCATCTTYTAGAGTACTGGAGGGCGTATGCAAGTGGTGATAGAAAGTAGTGGACACAAAGGAGCATGAAGCACCCGAATCAAAAAGTATGCGAGCAGGTACGGAGTTAACAAGGAACGTACYCGACACTACATCCGTCGATGCCTTGGCCTCCTCGGCAGTCATCAGAAAGGCTCGGCCGGCCGCTSTCGGAATATTTTCCTTCCTTCCCTGGCMTCCCCCSAACTTCKTCCTCGGACAGACATTCATGAAATGACCCGGTTCCCCACAGCCAAAACAGATGGGCCCTTTGTTAGGACACTCATTTCGCGAGTGGCCGGGCTTTCCGCATTTAAAACATTTCGTAGAGTTGCTAGTACAYGGGCCGTGGTGTTTAGTACGACATTTGGAACACCACTTAGTTTCTTGTCTAGGATAACCTCCCCGATTGCTGTTGCTGGGATGATTTGGTCTCTTGGAAGGTATAAAATGTCCTTCCCACTTTCTTTTCTCACCGCCTGCCACTTTCTCCTCTCTTCCTCTAGCGTAAACCGTTTCCATRATCTTGGCCTCTTCAATTGCCTCCCTTAGGGTGGAGGCTCTGGAGTTTCTAACCATGATCATCATGTCCGCARGCAACCCCTTGAGATAAGCCTTCATCCTTTCCTTCTCTGTTGGGGCCACGTGTCCCACTAAGTTCAACTTTTCCATAAAATGTCGCGTGTAGTCTCTCACTGACAAGTTTCCTTTCTTGAGGGTTCRGAATTCTTCTTCAATGCGATCCATCTCYTGTTCGTTGCAAAATTCTTCCAGTACTTTCTTCTTAAATGTGGCCCAACTCATCTTGGCCAAATCTGTAACCTCTATGGTTGATATGACGATGTTCCACCAGGTAAGTGCTGCACCTCTTAGCATTTGAGAGCCAAATTTTGCCTTTTGACTCTCGTCACAGTCACAAGCCCGGAAAGCTTGTTCGATCTCTCGAAGCCAATTCATGCACGCTACTGGATTATCTGACCCTATAAATTCTGGCGGCTTGCAACTCAGAAACGTCTTGTAGGAGCAGCCTTTACTCACCTGTCTTGCCTCAATCGTYGCTAACTCCTGGGTTGGCATTCCRTTTCCGGTACCCCCAGATCCTACTATAGTTACGTTCTCTRCGACTGCTTCGTGTTTACGATTGCTGGCATCTCTATCCTCCAACAACTTCATAAAGAACTCTTGTTGCTGGGTYATCGCTCTGTTCATAGCGTTCATCATCATTCCCATCATTCTTGATTCCGGGGTTTCTTCTTCTAATATAGGGTTAGAGGTGGCGATGTCGACTTGGGGAACGTGGTCCTCTCCACCGCCCAAGGTGTTTTGCCTARGGGGAAACCTTGCGATGGTGGTTTGAGGTGGTTGGTCCGCTGTAGATTCAGTTACCGACCACCTTCGACCACCATCGATCTGAACCACCGCTATCTGAACCACCGTCGACTATCACCAATCTGAAACATCGCCAATCACCACCGATCTGAACCACCACTAATCTGAACCACCGCCAACCACCGCCTATCTAAACCACCACCAACCACCGCCTATCTAAACCACCACCGATCTGAACGTCTACCATCTGAACCACCATGGACCACCACTGATTTGAACCACTGTTGATCATCACCATTTGAACCACCACAGACCACCATCGATATGAACCACCACCAACTACTACTGATTTGAATCACCGTCGGCCACCGCCGATCTGAACAATCACCGATCTGATACATCGACGATTTGAATCACATTCGACCATTGCCACCTGAAGCACCACGAACCACCACCGATCTGAACTGCTGTCGACCACCGACGACTACCACTGATCTAAATCACCATTGGGCACCGCCAAACACCAACGATTTGAACAACCGCCGATCTGAACCATCACCGCCACCGTCTATCTGAACCACCGCTGACCACCTCCATCTGAACCACCGCGGACCACCATCGATCTGAACCATTGTCGAACACCGCCATCTGAACCACTGCAGACCACCACCTATCTAAACCACTGTGGACCACCACCAATATGAACCACCGTTGATTTAGTAATGTCGTTTTGGCTTATGGTTATATTTAAGTTGTGTATTTTATATTGTTTCATATATTAAATAATTATTTCATTAAAGTATTTTTAGTTTTAAAAAAATTAAAATTTTCAAAAAGGGTATTTTGGTCATTTACCAATATTTCATTCTAAATCCAAAAGCTACATTCTTTGAACCAAACAGACAGATTCTAATCTCTTAACAAATTCTATTCCAATGTCTGCCAATCAAACATGTGATCAAACTTGACAACATTCCATTCCAATTCTTTCAAAGTCAGATTTTTCTAACATATTCTATTTCATCAAAAAAAATATTCTACGAACCAAACGTCACATAAGTATCTAAATAAAATTTTTCCAAATATACAAAATATGTAAAATAATATAGAAGCTCTTTACCACCACTAATTTATTGAAAACAAAAAGTTGTGATACTTTGATAAAATAATTATATACTAATAATGTTAATTTACGATATAAAATGATCTTTTTAGAAGGCATTATTACTTCTACGCTGTTAATAAGCGTACGTTGTGCATGATTAGATGTAAACGCTTTCGTCTTTCTAAGCCTCCCACAAACGCCATTTCCACCGCCACACCCTCGCTACCTGTTCAATCGCCTATCTTTCTTTCTCTTAGGGTTTTTTTTCAAGCGATTCCTTCAGATTCTCATTAAACAACGGAAAAAGGTATAAATTTCATCTCCACGTCACCTGTATGTATCTATCTGACATGTAATTTTTACTTTCCTTGATGGATATATCGTGATTTCTGCAATTTCAGTGTAATATTTTCGATGTTTCATGAATTCTGAAGTTTTTGCGAATTTGATGTCGTAATTCTATTGACAGTTGTTTTCGGGTACATAATTGATACGGAGTTTTGTGTGAATGAACCGACGTCATTTTATTGACAGTTGTTTTAAGTATAACGCTAATCAGCCGATATTTAGACTTTACGATTTGCATCAATTTAGAAGTTGAAGGACGACGTGTTTGACATCCAATTTAGGATTATTTTGAACTTAAACCAACATCTAGTTCTTGTTCTGGAACTTTGGGAGGTGGGGAAGGAGTTTCTTTTGCATTCTTGCAATTTGGGTTTTTAAAACTTAAATCAGCATCCAAAATTATTGATTATATTATAGAAATTTTATTGAATGTAGAATTTTGGCTGTGGGTGGATTTTACATATGAAATTGTTGACTACATGAGTTTGCTATGTTTAGTTTTGATGAAATTAACCCAGTTTTTAAGTGATTGCATGACAACCAAGATGTGAAACATTTGAGACAGGCCTTGCGAGCTAGGGTAAGAAACCTGATGTTGCTACGGTAATTGAACCCAAGATTCTCCTCAACTGTTTGATTGAAAGTCTTTTAGAGGAATACATTTTTGCATAATTGATGCCTAACATTGTATAGACCTCATATTTTAGTTTTCTGAATAAATGAGTTAGCGATGACGGTCCGTTTACCAAACGTTTACCGTGGAAGCGCTTCACTTACCTTACCAGGTGACCATGGGAAAGGACCGAGAATCTTACCCGGTAAGTGAGGGAGAAGACTCTTACCCATAAGGTAAGTGAGAGTGGTGACTCTTGCCGATGAGCGGTCACCGGGTAAGCCTTTGGTAAACGGCCCCTAATATTTGTGCAGTTGTTGTTACATCAGTCTCCCACGATAGTTCTCTACAGGTAGCTTAGGTTGCCACATTTTTTTCTTTTTCTTCTTATCTCCTATACAACTCTGTTCAAACAACTCTGTTCACTGGATGCCTTTTGGGTTGGATGGTTAGCTTGATTGTGAATCTTGTCAGTGGCAGAGATGCATTTTTCCCCTTTTTTACCTGTTCATTCCGTTTGCTGTTGCTGCTTTATCGTCAGATCTACCCAGTTTCCTGCAACTCAGTGACATTTGATTGTGTTTGAACTTGTATTACTCTGATGGCCATATATAGTTATATATATCAGCCCTGCTTGGATTAAATTCTAAGTGAAGAGCACATATTAGTTCAAGAAGAGCATGTTGAGTCTCCACTAATGTCCTATTCGTATCCCACTTACACGTGGACTTGTACGTGTGTAATTTAGATAAAAAGGTTATTGTAAACTAGATTCCTTTATTTACATTGTGTACGTACTCATAGCTGTATTCATTAAAATTCATATAGGTTGCAAGTGCATTTAGATATGTATAAGCGTCCATGCCTCACAAATAAGGGTGGGAAGTGGACCTTTTCAGAAATGGACCCTAATGCAGGAAGTTGATGAATGAATGAATAAGAAGATTATAGATGCTGTGCCTCATCAGCATGTCATTATATCACGATGAAGTAGGATGGAGAAACATTTGCTTGTCCCTTGTATTATCAAGTACAACAAGTTACCGTCCTTGTTGAAAGGATGTCTTTGAAAAGATCATTTTTTTGGCACTAGTGGTAAAAGGTGATTGAGACATAAGGTGCATAAGTCACAGATAATTTTCCTTTGTAGATTGGTCAAAAGTTATTTGGCCCAATAATATTGCGCCAAAAAACTATTTTTTCCACCATGGATGTAGTGAACTTTATATGTTGAACTTGAGTAGGTACTGTGTAAAGTTACCAACAAAAAGTAGCTTTGGGTATGGCGAGTGATAATCTTTGTCTTCGCGGCGCCTTGTAAGAATGTGATAAGTTCAAAGAAATTGCTTAACTGGTGACAATATTACATGTCTGATTTTAGTGTCCTGTGCATGAGTTCAATCCAGGTAATGGAGACTCAAATCGACTTCTTGCAATGGCTTCAACATGACATGACACTCAAAATACTTGTGTGTCTGGATGATTCAGCTGACCTCATTCGTGTGTCTGCCGTATCTCGATACTTGCAAAATTTCGGTGAGCGTCATCTATGATATACTTGAACGTTGCACATCCATTATGTTTCGTCATTCATCATGTTTTAATTAGTTAGCTTTCATGTTTGGATCTCTGTTTAACATGTGATACTTTAACACATGGTTTTCAAGTGGTCTCACTTTCTCATGCGTATGGTCTTTAGGTTGTACTCGGCAATCACATTTAGGAGATCACGAAATTAATTTAATTTTTATAGAAAAATTAAATTTGTCTTCTATAAACATAGTTTCAGCTTTCATGAATGTAGTTTGTGGGAATAGTCTGTTTTGACCTTTTGAAATAATCATCATTCAAGTCTTAATAGGCATCAACGAAATTCCTTAACGTTTTCTCTGGGGAGGGGTAAGCTGTCCGCTTGAAGTACTTCTGACTCCCACAAAAATCATCATTCTAGTCTTAATAGGCCTCAATGACTCCCACATCTAGTTTAATTTTGAGTAATTTACTATTTCTCAAATACCAAAGATAACCTTTAACAGGAACAAAGATAATGGATCTTGTAGACCAAATGAATCGATAAATAGGTACTTCTACTTCAAAATCATTCCAAGAAAGGAAATGCTGCAATCCTATGGAACATCATATAAATTAAAGGGAAGTGTAGTGGTTTTCATGGAACAGAAGAAGTATGTGCGTTATTTTTCGACCTGTCCTAGATTACCAAAATTGTGAAGAAGGCAAAATTGTAGATTCATGTTTATTGATATATTTGCTCTTTCCTATGAGGCGACATTACCTTAGATTGCTGTCTGAAAGCAAGTTTTGGCACACCAACTTGCATGAGGGCTGAGGACCACCTTTTTGGATATGAATCAAACCAAAAACTCCTTGACCATTCTGGGGGTTGATGGTTATCACACTTTACCATTAAACTATGCAATATTGAAACTTGATTTATCTCAGAGTAAGTACTAATAGGAAATCTTTATATAATTCAAAAAAAGCTAAGCATTATCCCAAGCCAATAAATCTGTAAATTCATCTGTATACACACAGCTTAGACACATATATGTGTGTGTGTGTGTGTTGTAGTTTTTTGCACTTTGGCAAGTCCTAGAGGCGAAAGGCAGCTTTTGTATTGTTTTATGACAGATGGTCCATGTTAATTATTGTCAACCTTGTTCTCATCTGTCCTATTCTTTGAAGTTTATTTCTTGTTGTACTTTTACTGTCTATTACTATCCAAGAGTGTTCCACATGAAATTCAGTTGATATCATTGTTTTTTTTTGTGTAGAACTATATGAACTCCTGAAAATATTTGTTGTTTGCAGTGATCTCTAATGGACTTAGTAGGCAGCTCTGTATGAGAAAATTTCCTCGGCTTGCTAGCATTGATCGTGTAGTCGAATTGAGTCACAACTCGGATACCGATTCATCCAGTGATGTTGTTGGGCATGAAGCGGCTGAGAGAGATCACAGAGCATATGCTTCTCTTTTTCGAGCTCTCACAGCATTTCCACAAACTTACTGCATTGCTGATCCAGTGAGTGCCTCGAGCACTGATAACTACCCGGAAGAAAGCATCATGAATACTCTCGACCCGAGAGACAAAATTTTACATAGGGATTCATACTGGTCAAGTAAAGGAAGTGACGATCCGGAAGTGCCTGAGACATTAATATACAACTTGACAGCTAATTTTTGTGTTATAACAGAAATTAACTTACATCCATTCCAAGGTTTGTTTTCATCGTATCACCCATACTTGCACATTCACATATAACCAACTTACAAGTAGGGTTGTTTTTAAGATGCCAAGCCGAGGCTTAGATTGGTTTGTCAAGTAATTGTTAGTCTTGGGCGCATGAGCTCAGCATGCCAAAAATCCAAGTTTAGCTCTATTCTATTCAGATAGGTTCAGTTTGGATGGGATTGTGTAAATGCTAGTTTTTGTAGACTTGTCTTAGCTCGGCTTGTATAGGTTGACCATATACTTGTGTAAATATATATTATAACAGACCCTTAAACTAAAATTTCATTGAACCCTCTTTGAAAAAGGTATGATTAATTGAAAATATATAACTCACACCAAGTAGGATTGGTAGGGTCAAGTCATTTAAACTTGGTTTCATTTTGCGCCATCGAGCGAAGCCATATTGGACTTGCCAAGCTTTTTGACAAGCCGCCTAGTAAGCTGGCTCGTCTTGACTGTACCCCTACTTATCGTTACCACATCTGTTATAAACTTATTGCTTTGTTGTTTTAACTTTGTCATCTTCTGCTTCTATTTTTTCTTTCATTTTTGCACCATCTAACCCTTTGATGGATGACATTCATGTACACAGCTTTGTTTCAGTTGGATCACCCAATATACGCGTCAAGATTTGTGCGGTTTCGAATGGGCCATCCGAAATCTTGGAATGAGATAGAACATGATTTCATGGAGTCACAAGAATGTGCAGATGACAAGTTTATTTGGACATACACCTCAGAAATATTCCCGGTGGCTCAGGTGAGTTGGTGTGTTCATGTGTATGCCTAGTATCTGATGAATATTCAATTTTGTATTACTCCCAAAGAAATAAAATGCCAAAGGTAAACCTTTTTTTGAGCGTTGAAATGACTAAATTAGTGGGCATTCAATCACTGAATCCATTGATAGATGCGTAAATGACAAAAAACTCTTCATCAATTAAAGTGGTGCATATTGTGGTTGAATTCAAATTACAACTTTCACCTGCTTCTATTTGTTAATGTTTTTGTGTATCTGCTTTTCCCGCTTTCACACACTTTTGAGCAGAGGTCTGGTCTGGACCCCACCTCTGGGTGGGTCAGATTGGGTTTGTTTGGTTTACTCATTCAAACTCTAGAAAAATGAGTCTTACTCATTCTACTTTGTTGTCTATTCGAATAAGGAAAGATAGACTTGCTCCCAATACACTCGTGTATCTTTTGAGAAGCTATTTCATTAACAACTTCTTGGCAACAGGAAAATCGCTTACAAAAGTTCAAGTTGCTGGAACCCGTAGTCTGCATAGGTGGTTTCTTGCAAATTGAGTTGTTAGGCCGGGTTCAGAAACAAGCAGCGGATGGCAGATATTATATATGGTTAGTAATCTATATCCTGATATTGCAATGAATAATTCTAAGTGTAAAGACTCGCCTCGTAAGCGAAAGCTGCATGTAGAGACTCGCCTCCACAATCCTTGTAGAACCGAGGAGTCCTGGTGCACCAGATCTTTCTATGACTAAATCTTGATTTAGTTTTGATTATTCTTTGTTTTCGTGCAAAGTTTTATTACTAAAACGGATGAAATTTTTAATGAAAAATGTCATGCCTGAGAACTTACGGACTTTATATTCAAGAGTAACGTTTTGAAACATCATACTCGGCCATTTAGTGCAAATTAACCAACCATTGTTTTTACAAAAAGTGCAAAGAAAATTAAAACATTATACTTTTCAGACAAGTCCACTGTACTTGGCACTTTTTATCCAGAATTATTCGTTCTTACAAGTTTCGTGCTACATCTTACCCTTCTTAGACTTTATTTTTACCGGGTCTGTTTGGTTTGGTTTGGTTTGTGTATGAGCTATGGAAACAATTTCTTGCAGAATTGTATGCAAAAACATCCCCGAAAGTATAAACGAGTTGGATTATGTAGATTTTAGAACGTTTCTCGATATTTGTGCATGAAGTACGAGTAAATCTTTGTTACAATATATTCACTCTCTTGTTACAGTGTGGTTCATGTTCAAGCTATAGGACGCCAATTATCACCTGCGTTTTGTATGGAGTTTTCTGGACCATCTAACATTACATCTCTCAAGTACGACGCTGAGCAATTCAAACATGTTATGCAAAAAGTCTCCAACGGACATAATGGGTCACTTAGTACCAGTCTACTACCGATACAACCTCCTCGGCAACTAGCGTGGGGAAATCTGGAAGATTTAATTCACATGGTAAATGCACATGAAAACGGCGTCGAATATGAATGGATGGAGGACGATGACTTTGAGATGGAGATGTTGAGATAGATTCAGGTAAACATGGTACATATGTGTTTCTTTGACCTGTATTATACATCATATATAGCTTCTGGTACTAGAAGCTTCTTCGATGTCGATGCTGTGTGGCCGTAAGATTGTCGTTTTATTTCCCGAGCTGTTATCCAAGCAAAAAGTTTATTGTTACTAGGTTCCGTAAGATGTGTGTTCTTGGAAGTAATTTTCTCGTTTTCAGTAGAGGATCTGAAACTCTCTTTAAATAAGAAGTTCTGATGGGATCCGGTGCATTATTTATGTAATTTTCCGTCTAGAAATGTATGTAGTTATGTTTAGTTTGACTTTTGTAATTATTTTACATGAATTACTAATTCAAGAAAGTGTTAGATGACGATATTTGTGTATATATGAAGAAAGTAGTTGGTGATGAATGGGGATGGTATTGGAATGTGATAGGTGATACATAATAGGAACCAAGCATATACTTCATGACGTCTTTTTGAATTAAACGCCATTCATGCAGAATTCATAAAATATTTGACAAAAACTCTTAAGAATCATTTTTAATGTATGAAGTACTGTTTATTGATGTATATTATTTAAAATTCAAGATTATGAGTAAATTGTGTATAAGTACAACTTATTAAAGTTCTATGTTTGAATTCGTGTAACTAATTGTGAATAAATATAATCAAATAGAGAATATACATCTCATTTTAAAATATAAAAAATCTAAAATATAATTAGGATAATATTAAGTTCTAACAGAATACTTAATTATTATCTTTATAAAAAAATATATTATTAAACCTACATTAAGTTATTTCGTTATGCTATATTAAATTATAATAAAAAATTTGAAATAAAAAAATATACAAACAAGAACTTTTAAATAGTTAATTTGATATTAATATTGATATATATTTTGCAAACTTTATATGATATTTTCAAATTTATATTTTATTTAAAAATAAAAACATTATCGTTTTCTCAAAACCACATAAAATCGTATTATATCGACATGGATAAAAAATACAAGGAAACATTGAAATGAAAATGTGTCTTGATCCATTGCACGAGTACCCTTCTAGTCATTAAAAAAACATGTACATAAATTAAATACGCGTTTTGATAAATCATAAATTGGTACCATCTTTTTTCGATTGATATATGTTAATACTGATTTTGTACCAACTCTTGGTTTTTTTTCCTACCTTTTTAAATTATGCCTTTTTTATAATTTTAAATAAATATTTAGTATGTAATCTTAAATCTATATAGATGGACAACTAGTTTATCAACTGATATTTATAGATGATAATTAATTTATCATCTAACAATTAAAGTGCTGTTTAAGATTGTTTATTTGAAACAACTTATGTTTTTCTACAAAAGTCTTTGTCAACTTATTATAAGTTAGAATGATTTAACTTTTTCAAAAACTTCTTATCATCGGTTTGTCAGTGGTATAAACTGTTTATCCAAACACTCAAAAATGCTTATTACCAATGTCACACTAAAATAAGTCAATTAGTTGTTTTTATAAATAATCTCAAACATCAACTAAGTTATTAATCAATAAAATGAAAAAAGAATCAATTGGTGGCGAATCAAGAAAAGGCATTTGTATGAGTTATATACATAAAATATATAAATGGTGCTTGTGTCATCTCCAAACAATATGTCACCCATCCATGAAGATCTTACTTTACCCTTACATTACATCAAAAGACATCTCTCTCTCTCTCACTCTCTCTCTCTCTCTCTCTCTCTATATATATATATATATATCTTACATTACATCAAAAGACATCTATCTCTCTCTTTCTCTTTATATATATATATATACATATATACACACACCGAGAGATGAGTTATTATACAATTATATTTGTACAATCAATACAATTCAATTTTAACCGTTCATTTAATTTGATAAATATGTGATTTCATAAAAGTTCTGATTGTTTCATAATATAAAGTATTGAATATAATTAATGAACTCTAATCATCTTTCATAAATATTCAAATCATAATAAAATAACTCTCATCATTTCTATAAATATCTCAATTGATTGAATTGCATTGGTCGTACAAATGAACATGGTTGCATTTGAAATATACCCTATATATATAGTTATTATAATATTATTTGTTTGGATTTTACTCTGAAATAATTATATGAAAATTTACAGGATGGTTTTGAACGATTATTCTTGTAAAAGTACCAAACGACTACGCTTTTTGGATGAGAGATGCCAAAAAAAAAGTCACTTAAAACCGGTTATTCTTTTCGGAATGGTGTCTCAAGCTATGCCTGGACTAATCCCGACAAATTGTGACTGCAATAAACCAGTCATGATAAACTCAGTGACCACAATTGTTGTGTACGTCTGGAATTGAACCCTAGGCAGATATGATATTCCACCACATCCCTCAGGGTTTCAACCACTACGCCACAACCCTTGTGATTAAAAGCAGTCACTCTTATGTAAACAGTAAACCTCTAAAAATGCAATTCACCAGACGATTCATTTATCATCATGAAGTATAGTGTTCTTTCTTTTATATTTTTACAAGAACAATGGTTAATCCATAAAAACAGCAACATTACAGAAACAGTTATTACAAATGTTCAATGAACACAATTCATAAGCCTTTTACGGGCCGTTTACCAAACACTTATTCGGGTAAACACTTACCAAGTCACATTACCTTACCGAATGAATATGACAAGGACCAAGAACCTTACACGGTAAGAGCGAAGACAAGGACCGAGGAGTCTTACCCGGTAAAGATGGTGACGACTCTTACCATAGTTAGCGTTTACCAGGTAAATTGTTGCATATAATGTCATTTTGATGGACTAAAATCTTACCTGTAAAGCAAGTGATAGTATTAAGTTTTACCAATAAACGCTTACTGGATAAGTGTTTGATAAACGACCCTTAATCTTATTATTTTCAAATATGATTTTTAAGGTCTTAAAACACATGGGCACCAACAAATTTTGTACACCTTTATATGTTGTCATTAGCATATCCTATGGAAGATGCTAACCATGCTTTTCTTCCTACTTTTCTTCACATTCATAAACACATACCACTATTTATACTTCACCATTTCAATGCTCATATCACCACAATTTTGCCCTAATTCACTTTCATCGATATGTAAATCCGATGTCAAAACACCTCTGGTCGAAACCACTTGCCGTCGCTCCTTGCAAGCAACAACGGGCGGCGGAACATGTGACATCATGGGTATGTGGTGGTGATGGTGGTGGTGGTGGTGGTCTTCTTATCATGAAATGTTCATGAGAAGGAAATTCCCTTTTACTCGTATCGAGGGTGATTTCAGTAACAGGGCAACCTCAATCTTTGGCATAATTATCGGGTTTTCGTTAAAGAATTACGTTTTACAAAGAAGACGACAAGTACGTTGTATCGTGTTATCTTATTAACATGCTAAAACAAATCGGTCAAACTTGTTGGGTTTCTTCATGTCGAGATGGAAATGCCCTTGATTCGTATCAAAGGTGGTTTTAGTAATCACTAGCAGGGCAACCTCGATCCTTTGGCATAGTTGTTGGGTTTTTGTTAACGAGTTAATTGCTATGGAGAAAACAATGAATAAAAACATTGTATCATGTTATCTTATTGATGTGTTATAATAGTTTATTTAATTTGTTAAACAACAGAATGACCGTCTTTCACATAGCATGTATGTAATGAGACGTTGCGTTACTTTTTACAATAAATTTGATTGGTTTTACGGCATGGTGTTAGTGAAAACGACTTACATATTCAAAAAGGTCAATTTTGCTATATTAAACCCGTTAAGACAAAAAAAAATCGAGTGTCTAGAATAAGTCCAACCAATTGTTAAAATTTAAACATCTAACAAACATATGTAATAAAATTTCATGTTTGATATATGCATTGAGGTCACAAAAGTAACCAATTATTTGCAACAAAAATGAAGTGTCTCAATGCACCAGAATTGACCATTCCAAAAGCACATATTCATGATAACAACTCAAGATTGGGGTTTCAAACCCCTCATTAATCTACAAAAACTCAAAAATGTAAAGGACAAAAAAAAGACACATTAAATAGTCAAATTCTCTTGAATTCCGAGAAACGACCCGATAATTTGACCACCGACGTCAGGGAACTCTTCGCTTCCCTCGAGAGGACGTACCTTGCCTGTTCGATCAACCTGAACAGGGTACTTCAAGAGATGACCTGTCATCTCGGATATCTCATTCGAAGCAAACTGGGTCCAGTTTGCTTCGGCCATTTCTCTGACCTGTCTTACGCACTCAAGAGACTCTGGATGCGTGAAGGTGTCATCAATAGTACCAAGATGCTCAGCCCACAGAGACATTCGATATCCATATATCTGGAAAAAGCATCGCAAGTTAAACAAAAGAACAACGCTTCTATGTCATATACATACTAAGGTGAAGGATCGTGTGAAAAGAGAAGTTATGATGAGAAGCGTAAGAAGAGATCTGAACTCTCAATCCCTTTTAATCTCATGCCCACCCATGAATTGTGCTTTAGAAGAGAATTGATCAGGTGCATATCGGTGCACCTCATTAATATGTTGACATTCAATTAAGATTGATCTAAGACGAGATCTCGTCTTACACTTCTCACCATAACTTCTCTTCTCATCAGAACCCAACCCTACGTACTAAATAGGAAAGATTTATGTCATATCAAATGAATCAGTCTTTTAACTTCAAATTGGGTAAGAATTGTTCTGGTCATAAAGAAAGAATCAGTAACTACTTGATCTATAAGAACACTTCTACTAATATGAAAGATTTGAGCTAAAAACATCAAGGTAAATCATGAATCTGGAAAGGAAAATGTTTGAATCATTAACATCACAAGTTGACTCAAAAAGATTACCTGGCCTCGTGGATCCATGAGTTTCCTTGCCCACGTATTATGTGGTTGGTAAGCTCCCATTGCAATCTCTGTGTCTCGGGTTCCCTCCATAGACCGTTGATTAATGTTTGCAGATCCTATAATCACATACTCATCGTCTACTATCATGCCTTTTGAATGGACATAGATCATGAATCGCCGGCTCTTACGTGCCAGTGCCTGAAGTAAATAAAACATAAGTACGAAAAAGTTACAGTTTAAGGAGATTAGTGAAACGGGCCGACTTTGGAGGTCAACCGAACTACTCTTTGAATTCGAATCTGATACGAATTCTTTGAGTTTTAGAGAAATGATTGGTTACCCACTAAACTTAACACAAATGCTACTTAAACTGAAATCTTTTCTCAAAATCTTAAACTGAAAAGTTATAGGTTTGACATTTAAGATTCTTTATATCTAAGCCAAGCAACTAATACATATTCACATAGATAGTCGGAGATAACCTCGGGAGTATTGTCATTGGGCAAATCATCCTTGTTGGTCGTGTCTTCACGGTTCCCAAGACAGAAGAAATTCAAATAGTCTTGTGGTGAATGTGCATCCTCCAGCCCAACTTCCACCAAAGCCTTGTAGATAATCTCATACATCATTTCCATTGTTTTGTTCTGTAAAATTAAAAGGTTATATTTAGTCCATTACAGTAAACAGTGGATTCGAGCCATATCACAAGGTTTCATAAAACCACACGGTTTTCCCAATCAAAATGAAGCAGTTTTACATGAAGAAGATTTGGCTCAGCATGTTATACTCAGTAAAGTCCCTGCATTCCGATGCTCAAGAACATTCAAATTGACTTTTAGTCAAATAGGCTAGTTTTCAACATCCACAAAGATATGGCTTCTTTGCATTTTTCCTGTAAAGATTTATACTAACATGTAAGGTAACTTGGTGTGTCAATTTTTTAGCAGAACCATTAAGAGTATGCAAAGGTTAGTGCAACCCATGACTTCCAAATCTCCACCGAGGCGCGGTGGTTTGGTCTGGGTGAAAGAAAGAAATCAAGTCCTATGGTGGATAGAAGATAAGATGTACTTCCTCCATCATATATAAATTCCTGAATTTAATCGAGCACATAGTTTAAAAGGAAGTGTTTCATGGTAAATTCTTATTTGCCATTCGGGAATAATAACAAGTGGGATCTTATGAAGTCAAATGAGCAGCATCCATAGTTATATACTTTATAATGATTATAATGGTAAATGGATCATATTAACTACAAAACTATGGACAAGAAGGAATTGTTAGCAATTTTCACTAGACAAACAAAAATGGAAATTGTTTTCTTTTTGAAGTATATAATATTTATATACGACAAATAGAACAAATAAGTTACACACCCTCCCACCTTTGGTGAGGTTTGAACCCTTGACCTCCTAGGAGGCCAAGGACTCACATACCGCTAGGCCAAAGGCCCTTTGGTAAAATAGAAATTGTTTTATTGGCACGAAAGGAGTAATGGTTAAGATTAGAATGTCAATAAAGAAGAATCCGTAAATTTTTGCATTTGAGATGTATGACACTGGACTTAAAAAGTCAAACAGTACCTCCTATTTACAAAAGGCAGGACTTATTAGTAGAGTATATATCGAATAATTGTCTTTTTAAGTAGCTTAACATACACTTCTAACTGCTTTGATTTATTTAAAATGCACTCTTTTTTTGTGGAAAATGACCTCTTTCCTATGGACAAAATAATTGAAAACAACAATTTTGGTCAACAAGATTTCTCTATTTGTCGTGATTTGAATGTCATATATAATCATCATGTCCAAATAAATGCAATAATTTCCTTCATGGTATATCTCGAAATAAATGCAATAGTTCCTTTTTGGCAAAATTACAATCCAAAAATTGCATGTTTGCCAAAAAAAAAGTTAACGGAAATTATAGAAATTATTGATTTTTGTCTGCAAGAAGCTTTTTCTACTTTGTCATTATTGGACGATATTGTAGATTTTTGAGTAATAATTAGACAATTCTATCAAACCATTTATCCCCTGTAGAGAGCATATCCATCTTTCTAAAACACAGGGTGAAAGCTATATATGTGAATACCTGCCAAAATAGAATTCTTTGTGTAGCAGAACCTGTCGGAACACCCTCTGGCCACATAGGGATGATGATATACACAGCAAATCTTTCGTGTGCTTGGATCTTACCAGCAACTTTAAGGGCAATTTCCATTGGAATCAAATTGTTGGCACCTGGGAATAATAGCAGAAGATGTTAAAATACTGGACCTGATAGAGAATTCATTATGGCTATCTGCATTGCTGCTTGTTATAAGTAATCTTCCTTACCCAGATCTTTATAAGCACTCCAGCTGTATGATGATCCAATAAAGTACTGGTTCTCAATATAGATGAAATGTTGTGCAGACCGAATAGCCGTTACATATGCAGCATGTATGCTCATATCAATAAGCACATTCTTCCCACAAACCAAATTCTGTTGATACAAATTTATCAATAAAGAAGTCTTCCTACGAAAGAACACTAGGAGAAAATGGATGCAACCTTAGAGCCTCCAAGTTTAGAAGGAATAAAGATGTGATAGTGGGTCCTATCTGTATGGTGTTAAAGGAAATAAGGATATGCACGTAGGTTCATTTACTTGATGTCAGATGAATTGACCATAGAATGGAAAGTGGATAATGGATAATGGAAGACAATGACATAAACCAATAAAACCTAATATTTTTTCACAATATAAAACAGGCACTTAAGAGTCCTAACAGAATAGAGCGGGGAACTTTGGACAAAATGTGTCATGTACAATGTTCTATTTACATTTACATTTCCATAATTTATCAAAAATTGCATTCCTGCAAAGCTTAGTATTCATTTTGCATATTCATGAGAATGATGATTTGATTATAGCAAAAAAGTCAAGTACGATGGTTCACCACTTGATTTGAATGGTAGGTTGTTATGAAGGTGGAGATGTAGAAATGAAAAAAGTTTGTTTAATGGCTGCGAATGTAATGAGCCACTCCTCAAGGAATGAGATTATTTCAAGTACCTTATTTCATTCCATATGGCAGAGGAGTTCTCTTATCTCTCATCTCTTTAATCTTCGATAACAACAATCTCTCTCTTCTTTCCATCTAAATAATTTTCTTGACTTTTTAGTCAATTGGAATTTAAAAGTTACAAAATATGGCAGTTTCTTTAGTTCAAACAATTACGATATTCATGATTAACTTTTTATTTTCTGCTCACAATTTAGGTTTTTTTTGCATACTATCTTAGCTGATATTGGCCAATAAGTTGGTCACATTTTGTGAAAACTAGCTAATAAGCAGGATGCAAAATGTAAAAAACCTAAAATGACATGTTTGATAAGCTTTTGGTCATTTCTGTAAAATATAAGGGATATAATTATGCCTTAAGCACCTGTAATTCACCAAAAGCAATAGGCTCCTAAAAATTTTAGAGTCAGATTCACGTGCAGCCTTGATCTTATTATACGACATACCACCAAATGAATTTTCTATTCTATGCAACTTTTTCAAAAGCTAGTTTATGACTTACCAAATGAGAGTATGAGACTTTTTGAATAAGCACAATAGATTAGCAAACTTATGGTTGCCAAACACAGCCTTAATCATTTCAGTGAACATGGTGCCAACTAGAAGTATAACTATTCACGTACATCTGCATATAGTTTTTATGCAAGCTAGAAAAACAACTAAAATAATTATCTAACATGCAAGGGAAAGCGATGTATATGAGATTATCATACTTAGAAATACCTTTATAAGCATTTCATGATTATTAAAAATCAATTTGAGAACAAAGGACTTAAAAATGGAGGAACAAATATTCATTTGAACATTTGTTGACTATCAACAAATATAATTCCAGATGAGCATACAATTTTTCCAAATATTATTTTTTGGGTAGGGTTCCCTTTTGAGTTGGAATTTGTTTTTTAATAGAATATTTTGGTCATTGTTTATTAATCTAATACCTTTTAGAAGTTTATTTATGCATACCAAACAACATATCTGATTGGTTCAATCTATTCCTTCAAACCAACCTAACATGGTAACGGAGTGGATACGACCTACACCATTAATCTGCTCATAATGTTACTTTCTCATTGCCTTCTATCCAACCAACCATGGAGTAAAATAATATAGTTAAATCTCATCACCTTGTTTGTAGCTTCCCGGGGATCTTTTGGAAAGCCTTTACACGAGTTTGAATCAATTGAACGAAATATCTGCAAGAAACAAAATAGAATCTTGTCAATAAGGTTTCAATGAAAAAATCCATTTTTGACAAAAAGGGGCAACCCCATTGCACGAAGACTTCATGGCTTGGTGAGTGTTTGACATTTCATGTATTACTGAGCCCCGTGATCTTCGGGTCCCAAAGGAGTAAAGTTTGCTAGTTACTATAAATCTATTTACCTGTACATGCCACCCTTCAGGGTCTTGGTCACTAAGGCAAGGTTCATCATTCACAGTCAAAAATTCTGGCATCGTTTCTAATTTCAGTAAAGCATCATCATATGCAAGCCTCAGTTTTTTTATGCCACTAGCTTTTGAAGCCTTTCGCCACCGCTCCTCAAAATTTTTCATAACATCATATGCAGCTGGTCCATCAATTTTACTATGCATGTCGTGCCATGGTTCTCTTGGACAACCAGCAAGATTACCCTGTTAAAATTAAAACGTCAATGATCATAGATCATGAATTTTTAAATAGCCACAAAACTGGATGAGTATCGTTGCAGACACCAAAAAATGATGAGAATTCACACATGTAGAACACAGAGTTTGAGGTGGTTCACCCAATCAAGCTACGTCTATGGGTTGATCAGTATCTAGCATATGGAGAAAACAATATGGAATAGAGACTACAAAACCGAATACAAATGTAACTCATCCCTTCAAAATGCAGAGCCTCTGATATACGGCTCAAGAACCTAAAAGGGATTTCCCATTTGATTTAAATTCAAGGCATCAAGTTAATAAATACATCTGACATACCCACAACAAAATTCTTTAATAATTTAGAACCATTGAGTTAGAAGTTCAAGATTTAACTAGAAAGAAAGAATAAGATCTGAGGCATCACCGTGAAAGTAGGATTATGAAAGTCATCTGCATGTATTGTCTCTAGTGTTCTGAATATAGGATGCTTCGGATTATCATATCGACCATTACATAGGTCAAGTCCTCCAACAAAAGATACAATTTTTCTCTTACCATTTCCAGCATCAGCATCTATAATCACAGTTTTCTGGTGGTGCGTATAGATAGTTCCAACTTCCTAAAGCATAGAAATAAAAGAAAACCAGCTTGTAAGAATAACAAGTTATTTAGACATGATATTACTAATTTACTATTACTCCTTGAGTTCCAAAAGAAGGTATAATTTACATTTGGTAAAGAATATCATACGTATTTGAACTATTTAGAACTTGATTTAAAGGGTATTAACAAAATAACTTGATCCAGCCTTTAGAAAACAGAGCAAGCTAGGAAGACTAAATTTGCCATGGGAGGCGTTTCTCTGACAAAGAAAACATGTAAATTTGACCCCCTTTTTTTTTGGAAATATGGAGTATTAGTTTTTATATGTTGAAGATGAAGGGAACAACCTGCTACTTGTGGACTATGATAATCCTTTCAAGCTCTAACACATTATGGTTAAGAAATTAACAGCATCACACGAAGAAAAAAAAAACATACTTGAAAAATTGCATTGCTACCAAATGAACATTTCTTAGATTTAAATTTCCATCTTCTAATTACAGAAATAATGATCCAAAATCTACATCTCCTAACCTAGAGCAACGCAGATGACTGCAATTTTAATATTTATTTGCAAATTTGATCATGTTTAGTACTTTATATACACTTGATAAGTCCAATTTATTTGGTAAAAATGTTTATAGTAAAATTTTCAAGATCGATCATAGCATACCTGCTTCTTGACCCAACTATGTTTCTTCCCAGCCATCCGAGGACAAAGCATCACTTGCACTGAAGAGTGCTTAAAATAACGCTTAGTCTCTTCATCATGGGTAGCCATGAGTCCGTCCTGAAAGAAATCACATTAAATGACACCCAAAATAAATTATGTAGCAGAAAGTCATCGTGCAAATCCAATAACAGCCAAAAGAAAAGGCAAGTGGCCTTTGGCCCAATAGATCAATGGATCTCTACGACATTTAGATTGCCAATTCTCGTTTTTTCATAGGCATCAATGTATCAATTTGTTGAACATAGCAAGAAAAACTAATAGCAAAAGAAAGACTGCAAAATACAAGCTGTTGGGATTCTCTTAAGATAATCTAAACATCCTAAGTTCAAATCTCAGGCATCGAGATTGCCGAGTGGATCAGCAAGGGTGTGTCAACGGGCTAGCCGCAAAGGTTTTTAACCCCTTGTGTGTAGTTTCACTGGTCTTTCAAAAAACAACCTAAAAGGTCTACAATAGTCTGCCACGCCCAGAAAAACCCGTTTTGCAAGGCTAAAGAGAATCTCTACACCTTGAAATCACGTTGCTAGTATCATTTTGCAACACATCCTCAGAAATAAATAGTTTTGAAAAATTAGTAGGCTGGATTAGCAAAATTAGCCAACCCCATTAGCCATGTTCGTCATAAAAGTTGGCACTTCATTCATATTTGTGATGCTTCTTGCATCGCCAACTGCCCCCATTGACAAGTACGATAATTTGTGACGTCTATAGAGTTGCAAAAAATCTGTTTTTTTCTGGGAGTATTCAGAGACAAGTACCGCAGAAATCCCAAGGGAAGCAAACATATTATATACAGCACACTATGCTTAATGACTGAGATCTTAACAAAAACATGAATGCACTTTTTAAACTTTTTCGTAGCATGTATATAACAAAACTTATAGCCTCATTATTTGGTTAAAGAACTTACCACTTGGTAGCCCATGATGTTCCTTGAAGTAGGATCATCCCAAACAAGAAGCAAAACTTTAACACCTTCCTGTGATTTGGTTTTCAGAAGATCTCCAAGTGTGTATGTTGGTGCATCTGCTGTCTCACGGACCAGTCGCACTTCGTGCCATACTGACCATCCAGTGATATAAACAAGACGCTGGGCTTTTTTAATTGCATTAAATATGTCAATCCAACATGTACCATGAACATAGCGCATGTCACCATCAATCTCAGTAGTTGGAAGGCTATCATGAGGGACATGTGCATCTTGATACAGAGTAACCTGCCCACCTCTTCTCAGTGGAAAGTAAGTGTCAGGAATCCCGGAATATTGAGGACCAGCTCCAACTCCATTGTGATATAAGCTCATTTTTTCAATCGGAATGTATTGCACTGAAAGCCCCAAACATGCTGCATTCTTGTAAGGTTTCCCATTTGGGCTCAACAAAGGAAAGGATCCTTCAATTTTAGATCCAGCATATATCTGTTCAACTGGGATTCCCACAACTCCTATAAGTTGAGATCCCACCGTGTCACTGTCTTTAACGAGGAAATGAAGTTCAGAAGCATGATGTGCAACATGAACGTTAAAGTGTTGATTCCAAACGGGGTTTTCGCAGTCGTTAATCACATATGTCCTTCCAATCACTGCACTTGCTAAAGCAATAGAGACATATGGATCACTAGTGTTCTGACTTCTGTAAAAAACTTCACCCATCGTTGTAGGGAACATATCCATGTTTGGAAGGTCTTTTGCCTCGTAAATCCAAATGCTTAGATTCCCATGTAGTAGAAGTCTTGAGGACTTTTTATGAGAAGCAAGTGCCAGGGCACGGCTTTGAGTCTCTGATGAATCGACAGGTGAGTCCAAGTCATGAAGAGAAGAACTTTGATCTGAATCAAGTGAGCTGGTAGAACGGTAATCTCCAGTTCTTATTAGTGAAGCAGTAGGTCGTTTCGTTTCCGACTCAGATTGTAAAGTGGAATTCGGTGCTGTTGATGCAGCATCCGAGGCATCATCCTCAGACACATACAAACGACGTAGCTTACGATCGATAGGCGGTGGTGGGTATGGTTGATTATCGGAAGCATGATTGGGAGACGAATCATCGTAATTATTATCCATTAAAGAACACGGATATATCTAGTTATACATACAGATTATATATATATATATACGGACAGGCATACACAAAATAGGGTTCTTCACTTAACAATTTCTGCCATTGTATCTACATGCATGCATTTAGGGCCATAATATTTACAATACAAAGAATTCCAAAACTGTTTTTGTTTTCTCTATAGCGTCATTACATTTAATCATATACCCAATTGCCAAAATAGCTCCAAAATTGAATAAATCAGATGTCTTTTAATCTGGATTTTTACAACCGATCGAATAAAACCCCATGCTATGCAAACACATACATTAAAAGGCAATTGGAACACACCTTTGATCCCTGGAAATGGAAGATCTTGATGAGTGGAAACTAAGAGATAGAAATTGGTGAAACAAAATGGGGTTGCGATTAGAACGCAGAAACTTCACATTTTGTAACCGATTTTACTGCGATGCATCACCAATAGAGATAATTAGGAAATTTTGGTTTCGCCTGGTCCACTGGATTGTCGAACATCTGGCTTAGCCTCTACAAATTGTGGGTAATTTTGAGCAAGGATAAGATTTTGGGGAAGATTCTAATTCTAATCAATAAATAAACCGCCAACAAGATTTCAAAATCTCAACTGAATATTTTGTTTCCATTCGGAAATTTACATATTTTCTCCACGTGGTTTGCAAATCTTGTCGGTTTAGTCCCTGTTAAAATTAACGAAGCTTCCTTAACGTTCCCCAAATTGCTTTATAGCTAGCGGCAATTTATTACGTCTACTTTTGTTCTGTCCTGGTTGTATCCAACACCAGACAGACAATATCATATTTGGTATGGTTTGGTCTTGTCTTGTCCTGTCCAATTCTGTCATTTTCAGTTCAACCGTGTTTTCATGGGGCAGGATAAGACAACACAAGACAAAAGTTAACGTCTCACGTTTGTTCCCTCAAGATACGTGGTGGAACAAGATGGGATAATAATATGACAGAACTAAAAAATAATAAAATTACCCTCGTCTGATATAATCATAATATGGTATTTGATGTAGTAGTCACCCCTGCCCATCAATGCCACCACTATCTATCACCACATTGACCACTACCTCCTCTACACCCACGACCTCTACCTCCTCCAAAATAGGTGGACAAAATTACAAGTATTGGTCTCAACATTGCATTTGTAAATAATACAACTAGCATCTGATTCAACACTTGGGAAGAAATTCTTAATATTTGCCTTGTATGTTCATATCTGATGTACAACATTAATCGGATATGACATAAGTGTATTAACATCTAAATCTTGCATAACAAATAAAATTATTAGGTTCAAGGCTTCGGATCTTAATCGTCATCGGATTTATAACTTAAATAACATGTGAGATCAAATCTTATATTTGATTATTCTCCATCCGAATGGAAGAATCCTATTTATTTATCTTCATGGTTACTCAATCTTGATTTTCAAGAACCCACATTTTATTCTACGTAGGTTTAGAATCCGATGCTCCGACTTCATAATTAATCCACAACTGAAATATGATCTATAACGTATATTTCGGAATAAATAATATATGATTTTTCTTTGTAAAAATCTTGTAATTATCTGTATTGATCCAAGAACAAAAAGTTTTCAACAAACTGAAGACTAGTGAGGTCAAGATCGTCATCAAAGTGGATTGGTTTGTCATTTAGTCAAAAGAATAAATAAAAGATAAAGTCGAATAGTGGCATGACAAATACTACCACTGACAAGGCAATTTTGGAGTGCAAACTTGTCTAGCAAGTTTGGTTCACCAACTCTACCAACACTCATCTTGGTATGAGAACATGCTTAGCATCGCAGCCAAAGTAAGTTATAAAATACTATTTTAATAGTACTATACTTTCTTTAATGTTGCCTCTGCATACAAAAGGACGGTTGAGTTTAACAAGTTTCTACATCAACCTCAAAGGTTGAAATAAATAGTCCAAGCATGTTGGATCAACAAATGAGACAGGTTCGTGCCTTAGCATGTGTCATCCAGTTACACTAAACAAGGTCCCAAAATTTGCACTCCAAATCCCTAGCACTCTCTCTATCATCATCAATTGAACACCTCAGTTACTCAACAACTGAATCTCTCTTTCATGCTATGTTTCCTCGATAAGCACCAACACGACTCCTTGACTCCTACAATTTCTTACTTGTTCGACAATTATAGCAACCAAAATCTAAAGTAGTTGCTATTGTGTTTTGATTAAATCACCAAATCTGTAAACAAGTTCGTTCTTTTTTGTTCAATGACTAGCATATCCACAATTTCTTGTTTGGCTGACTCCCACAAATTTGCAATTTTCGTTCCCAGGAACTCCCTTAATTATAGTTAGCAGGGATATTTCTTCATTTCTTGTCAAGGTCGTTCCAAAAACAAGTGATATGTAGATTATTTACATTTAAGATTAGACTTTTTATGCTTTATTGGGTGTCTCTTGATATTGGTTTTCACATGGTTGTAGAGTTGCAATACTTGGTGTAAACAATACAGGGACCAAGTTAATGTTTGATAGTTTCTTCACTTGATGGAGGCTTCACCATCAAGTGATTGTGCTATTGGAATTTCTAAGGTAAATAAAACTCAAGTGATTGTGCTATTGGAATTTACCTGGTAATCGCTAAACGTGGTTAGAGTCGTGGTCTTCACTTACCAAGTAAGATTCTTGGTAGTTAATGGTGGGGTTACTATTATTCTTTTTTCATCTGGTAAGGTAATGTTGTTTGGTAATCACTTACTCGGGTAAACGTTTGATAAACGATCCCTTGAATGAACAGTTGTAGTTTGCTACAGAAGGTGGTTCTAAAATGGCAAAATGTTCACTTTGGTCCTACAAGCTAAAAAACGAGGTAATGAGTAACTGAATAATGTTGCCAAATATAGATAAGGAACTACTGAACTTATATCATATAAGGTATGTTATTTTCATACATTTTATGTTTTTTTATTTATTAATCGACGATATATAGTCTTGGTGTCTGTGTGTGATTTATAACTTTGATATAGGTGTAACAGGGCCTCCAATATATTGCAATGACCCACTTTAAAAGAACTTTCGAGTAATAGTTTCTTAGGCAAAATCGACATCACTATCTAAATAACTATCTAAGTACTTCAGATCTGAATGAGTATCCTCTTCTCTCACTCCTTCAACTGTTAGCAATTTTGTCAACAATCAAGTTGGTTAGGATTACCTTCCTAGCTTTCACAACAGATATGTAATTCTTTGTTTTATACAAAATGTAGAATTAAAAGTGAATTTTTGTTGTGTTTGTATTCACCTCCCTTCTACAAACATATCCTGTGTAAGTCATTATATTTTAGGACCAACAACAAGAATGCGAGATAAACTAAAAAAATTACTAGTTACCCTTATTTGATATAATCATAATATAATATTTGTTCTAACAGTCACCGTTGCCGCCGCCGCCACCACCACCACCACCACCACCACCACCACCACCACCAACAACCACTTCCGCCTCTTTCTCCACTACAATAACCTCCTTAACCAGGTGGCTATCACCGCCCATTGCCACCACCACCGTCAGCTACCTCCACCATAACCATCACCATCGTTGACTGCCTCCGCCATAACCACAAACTCCCACCTCTCCCTTTGCCCACATCAACCACAACCCACCCCATCGCTGTTGGCTGCCACCAGTACCACTGTCCACCATCATCTTTATGTCTTCCACAATCACTGTTGTCCACCATCCACCATCACTTCTACCTCCACCATCAACACTGTCGCCAACTTTTGTCTTGTAACAATCATCACCACTGGTAACCACTATTTCCGTCACCAACACCTCCTTTGACCGCCGCTGCATCTATCGCTGTCAAATGCGACAAGGATCTTCTAAATTGAATAAAAACATAAGTTTTCTTTGTACGAATCATGTCTTTTATCAAAAAAATTATTCAAATTTGGTACGATTATATATGTATATGAAAGTATAAAAATGTTTATAAATTAAATTATTTAAATATTATTTGATTTGTATCATCTATAACTATTATATGATATATTGATTAATCAAAAAACCTTTTAAGAGCATCTTGTCCAATCCAATTCTAATCGTACCAAATACCAGATAAACAACTTATCATGTCCAATTCAATCATGTTTGTATACCAAACACTATCTTACCACCACACCCCTCCACCATTTCTACCGACTACACAACCACCACCTTAAACTTCGGGGCTGTTTGTTTGGCTCTTAATGGTTACATTAAGAGCCAACCTCTTAATCAGTAAGAGGTCAAGGCTGTTTGGCAAAAAAAAAAAAAACTCTGAATGATTACATTTTCCTTCTTAACCATTTTGCATCTAACGGGTCTCTAAACCATTTTTCCCTCTTAATCGGGAAGAAGAAGACGTCGCCGGTCTTCAAATCCCGCCCTCTCTCCCAACATTCCTCACACATCGCTCACAGCCCCTCCCCCCACGTCGCCGGTCTTCAAATCCCTCCCCCCACCCTACGTCGCCGGTCTTCAAATCGCTCCCCCAACCCTATGATCATCGGTCTTCTTCTTCCAGCAGGTCTCACGTCGCCTTCTTCCAGCAGGTCTGTCGTCGCCGCCGCTCGCCGCCGCCTCTTCCAGCATGTCTCGTCGCCGCCTCTCGTCGCCGCGTCTTCCAGCAGGTCGTCGCCGTCGCCGTCTCCGCCTTCTTCCAGCAGGTCTCACGTCGCATCCTCTCCTCTCATGTTTGTAACAATGTTAATTTCAGTTTCTTGAAGCTGCTTTACGAAATGGGAGATTTCGGTTTCTTGATCTTGCATAAATCTAGGGTTTGGTTTAGGGAATTTATCATTTTTCTTTGGAAATTGACGGTGTTTATTGCTTATTTCATGTTTGTAACAATGTTAATGATGATTGGATTACCGACATTTTGCAATTTCTTGAGGATTTGATACTGATATGAGGAAACATCATCTTTGGTAATTGTATGTTGGTTTATTCAGTACTAAATCATAACTAGGGTTAAAATGGTAATTTGCTGTCATTCAGAAAACAATTACCAAACAACCTTGTTTCATTCAGTACTTAACCATTCTGATCCTCTTAGCCATTCTAACCTCTTAACTATTCTGAACTAAATCATTCAGCAACTGCCAAAGAGCCCCTTCATCTCCATATTTACATATCAAACATTCATTGGTGGAGTGAAAATCACTAAATTATCATACAACTTTTAATAACTTAATATTTATATTTTTTGTTGGGGTTGGTGCCCATCACGTCATTGGCACGTGCCCTTTTAATACAAAGCATGTATTAGGAATGCTTTAAAATAATTGATTACTATACAAAACCCCAAATTAGAACACATTCAACAATTTGCCACGTATCCAACAACGTCGATTAGTCCCCATTCCATATCCGCCCTACCTAATAATTATTTTTGTTTCTTTTGTTTTAATTTTTTTTATTTATTTTAATTATACTAAAAGAATACTCGTGCAATACAACGAGATAAATCTCGATTTTAATGTTAATATAATACGATTTTATGTGATTTTGAGAAATCGATAATGTTTTTATTTTTGAATGAAATATAAATTTAAAGATAGCATAAAATTTTGAAAAAAAATAAATCGATATTAGTATCAAATTAACTATTTAATAGTTCTCGTTTGTTTGGTATAAGTTTTTTAATTCAATTTTTTTTATTATAACTCAATTAGATTTAATAACAAAGTAATTTATTTTTGGTTTAATAATATAATTTTTGTGAAGACAATAATTAAACAATCTGTTAGAAATCAATGATTATCTAAATTATATTTTAGATTTTATGTGTTTAAAATTGATGTTTATCTTGTATTTAATTATGTTTATCTGTAGTTAGTTATATGAATTTAAAAATAGAGCTTTAATAAGTTGTACTTACGCAAAATTACTTGTAMTCTTGAATTTTAAGTAATATGCATCAATAAACAATACGTCATGCATAAAAAATGATTTTTAAATGTTTTTGTCAAATGCTTTATAATATAGTATAGATATTACGATTTAGTTGATACTTAATCTAAATATCTAATAACTAAATAACCCCAAATTAAATCTCATTTTTTTTACCCAAGTAGAATTCTTAAACATCCTCAAAACATATCGAAATCAAGTAAGGTTAACAAGATCGTTTCGATTTTTACCCTAATATCTTATTTTTATTTAATTTTGGTAGTAATTTAAATTTGTAATAGCATTTTCTTATAGTTAAATTCATATGGTTTTAATCTTTACACGAATATTTTATCTTAGTCTTTGGAATTGGGACAAACTTCCAACCGTTAGTTTAGACTAAGGCGGTGTTTGAGATTGCTTATAAAAACAACTTATTGACTTATTCTGGTGTGACATTGGTAATAAACACTTTTGAGTGCTTGGATAAACAACTTATACCGGTGTCAAACTGGTAATAAGGAGTTTTTAACGAAGTTAAACCCTTCTAACTTATAATAAGTTGATAAATGATTTTGTAGAAAAACATAAGTTGTTTCAGATAAGCAATTCCAAACACCCCCTAAAAAGAAAAGTTTACATCATTGATATGATTCATGTTGCTTGTATGTTATGATTCATGGGCTAGAAAAACAAAGTTTACATAACTGATATGATTCATGTTGCTTGTATGTTATGATTCATGTTGCTTGTATGTTATGATTCATAAGCTAAAAAACAAAGTTTTGATCACCGATATATGATGAAAACAAATGGTTTCAGTATTTTCTATTTGTCATTTTCTCTTTTACAACGCCGACATAAAACCACTATCAACCAAAAAACTTGGTATAAAGTCAATAGTTGATGTATGATATTAGATTTTAGACATCAATCATAATTAATTAATACATAATATAATATTCCTCGTATCAATTATAATCAGTTAATATACTATAGATGAAGAATCATGTGAGAAGAATAGTTAAGATAGCGTAAGAAAAAAAATAATCTGATACATCTTTATCTTAATGTACATAAAGATCCATTCTTCTGTTCCTTACTAAAGAAGTGTTTGAGATTGCTTATTTAAAACTACTTATGTTTTTCTATAAAAACACTTATCAGCTTATGATAAGTCAGAAGAGTTTTAACTTTTTCAAAAACTTCTTATTACCGATTTAGTACCAAAATAAATTAATAAATTATTTTCATAAACAATCCCAAACACCCCTGACTCTACTTCCATAAAAATGATATCATACAATAAAATTCATCGTATTTTTCATATGAGATTGTTTCATGCTAATCAATCGCACTTTGTATGATAGACACGCAATCTGTTTTTCCATGGACCAGATTGATCGCTCTGCAATTGAATTACAACAGATGTCTTTTAATGCCCAACTCGTAATTTCGGAGATGATTTTGTATAAAAATCCTGAAAAACATGGATTGAATTCTCTTTATGGCGATAGTATCCTTATAGATTGAAAACATCCAACACACCCCCAGCTAAAACCCTTCAAATCCAATTGCTCTCGTTTTTGCATCAGCTGCAAAAACTCAACCTCTTCATTCAAACAATGGCAGCAGCGGCTAAGGATCTCAAAACCCCTTTACTTCTTGCTTCCGACGACCGCCGCCGCCTGTCACAGCCACCATCCGATGCTGATCATCAACTTCATGTCCCCCAACTGATCCTAAACGTCAATGAGCAACTGGGTCCTCCACCATCTTCAAATCAGGAAGCATCCACAAACCAATATTCAATTTCGATCGATACCCAATTGGATTTTGATGAAAACCCATATGGGTTTATTGGGTCAAACGGGTTTGAAGTTCCTGGGTCGACCACGGTGGATCCGTTTAGGAACCATACACCCACGATTGAAGGGGTTTATGAGTGGCTTAAGGTGTTGGTGTGTGTGCCTATAGCATTAGTCCGGCTTGTGCTATTCGGATTGTGTTTGTCGATTGGATATTTTGCTACAAAATTTGCTTTGCATGGCTGGAAAGATAAGCATAATCCAATGCCCAGATGGAGGTGTAGGGTTATGTGGATCACCCGTTTGTGTACTAGGGGGATTCTATTTGCATTTGGGTAAGCTCAATTGACCTTTTTCTGTACTTATTATGCATCTATGACTAAGATTTTCCAGAATATACTATTGTTGTTTGATTGCTTAGATCATTATTCGGACGAATGATATTATGATATTATGAATTGCTGTTCAATTTGAATCTTTTCTGTAATTTTGTGTATAAAATTGTAGATTTTTCAGAAAAAAGCTTATTGACAACTTCTGAACTGAAAAATGAAAAGGCTAGTTGGGAAGGTGGATGTGAAATTTGGTGCCGTAAGACCAACGGATCAAGATGATAGAAGTGATAGAGTTGGCTTATAATTAGTGACCTCAACAATTGGCATTGTGGAGGCTAGATGCCCAAATTTGAGCTATTCCCTATGCTAAATTTATGCCAGATTTATGGTGTCTCAAATACTAGCCTGATTATGATTGCTGTTAGCGTGTGTCACCCTTTCTTATTGAGGCTTAACGCGATGTATAAGAGAGTATAATATTTTATGTAGGGAAATATGTCATTTGCAGTTTTGCACCATCCGTAGTCCATTCTATGAAAATTTCAGCAATTGGGATGTCCATGAAAAATATTTCCATTTTGTGGAAACTTATCATCGTCACAAAAGTGATGATATTATTTGGGTACATAAAATTCTCCTATTTTATTACTATTTAAGGGTATTTTAATATATTTAAGCTTTGACTAAGGGGCTGTTTGGTTGATTTCCATTAAGGGCCTGTTTGTTAGCTGCTTAATGAGCTTAATGGAACTCACAGCTTATTTGGTCAGCTATACATGAGTGTTTAATGGTGGCTTAATAATATAGAAAGTGGCTTATTCAGGAAGCTTCTAAGGGAGAGCTTTATGCAAAAAGCAAAGTTTTTCGAAACCTGCCCCTCCCATTTAAAACATGCTCTTTCAATCTATAAAAAAACCATCCCAAACAAAAACTTACGCAACAGATGGATTGATCCACACAGACAGCTTTATCCATACGTGACTTAATGGAAAACCAACCAAACAGCCCCTAAGTCCTATATGGATAAAGTTGTCTGTGTGGATTAATCTGTCTAGGGAAAGCTTTTGTTTGGGAGGGCTTTCTCATAGATGGAGTGAGCGTGTTTTTTAAATGGGAGGGGCAGATTTAGAAAAAAACTCGGCTTTCTGCATATAGCTCTCCTATAGAAGCTTACTGAATAAGCCACTCTATATCATTAAGCTGCTACCAAGAGTCATGTATAGCTGGCCGAATAAGCTCGGAGTTCCCTTAAGTTCATTAAGCTGCTAACAAACAAGCCTTAACAGTTAGACAAGTTAAACCATGGGTTCTCTCAAAAGCTTCAATGTTTATGGAATGAAACTTCAATTTCTTTGTAATATTGAGATATCACATCTGTTTGCATTTGCAGCTACCATTGGATAAAGCGAAAGGGAAAACCAGCTCCGAGGGAAATCGCTCCTATCCTTGTATCCAATCATGTATCTTACATTGATCCAATCTTCTTTTTTTATGAATTATTTCCAACAATTGTTGCATCCGAGTCCCATGATTCCATGCCCTTTGTTGGTACAATTATTAGAGCTATGCAGGTACACTGAATTTATCTTGAGTAGTTTTCTTTCTGCCTGATGTTGCACCTTTGTTAAAAATCTTGAATTTTCATGCAAATTTGTTCTTCCATTTTTTGTATATAGGTGATATATGTGAATCGATTTTCACATCAATCACGGAAGAATGCCGTAAATGAGATAAAGGTAAAGAGCCTTCGTTAGTCATCTGTTCTGTTTCCTATAATTGTCATTCTTTATAGGAACGATATCATGCCTTTTCATAGCTTCAAGCCTTTGAAGCATTTCCCATTGTAATTGCAAAGAAATTGACGATATTGACTTGGGTCGACAAGATTCTCCTATTTTGTAATAACTGAAGGGTATTTACGAGAATAGATTATTACTTGAACATTTCCCTTAAGCTATGTGCCTAGTTACATGTGCAACAATACTCATTTGAAGGGTTTAATTGTAAAATCACGTATTTTTCATTGATGTACTTTGAAAAATATAATTTCTTGCATTCGATATATATAAGCAATTTGATACAGAAATGTGCTTTTAAGGATTTCAATACAGAGAAAGGCCTCTAGCAACAGATTTCCTCGACTACTTTTATTTCCCGAGGGAACCACAACTAACGGAAGACTGCTTATTTCATTCCAACATGGTGCATTTATACCTGGTTACCCTATCCAGCCAGTGGTGGTTCGCTATCCTCATGTACATTTTGATCAATCATGGTAAGATCATCAATTAATCGGAAATTCTGTTGAATTTTTTGTATAACGTTTCTCATCTTTAACGGGTGCTTGACATGCTTTGTAGGGGTCATATTGCTTTGGCGACACTCATGTTTAGAATGTTCACACAATTTCACAATTTCATGGAGGTATGCTTTCTCAGGCCATGTTGTCTCTAGTTTGTAGCTTGTTTGCTTGTGTACTGGTTTTAGAAAAGTTCGATAACAATTTAAAAAAATTATCAGGTTGAATATCTTCCTGTTGTTTCACCTTCCGAGCATCATAAAGAAAGTGCTGCTCGTTTTGCCGAGAAAGTGAGTTTATCTCTTCCATTATAAGTACACACATACAGACCTCTTAGAAGTACTTGTTAGTTGTTATAATTACTAAGTTTTTATGATAGAAGTGTTTCATAATTCCAATTACTTTGAATATAAATTCAGTCTTTCGTTATCTTGAATTCATGTTTCAAGGCTCGATTTATATTCCGATCTGAATGAATTTGTTGCGACCTGAATGGATGGAACTGTGAGGTTTAGTGTTAGGGGCCGTTTACCAAACGCTTATCCGGGTAAGTGCTTACCAAATCACATTACATTACCGGATGAATATGGTAAGGACCAAAAATTTTACCCGGTAAGAACGAGACAAGGACCAAGAGTCTTACCCGGTAAGTGAGGGCAATGACTCTTACCATGGTAAGTGCTTACCGGGTAAATTGTTGCATACGATGTCATTTTGATGGACTAAAATCTTACCCGGTAAGAACGAGACAAGGACCAAGAGTCTTACCCGGTAAGTGAGGGCAATGACTCTTACCATGGTAAGTGCTTACCGGGTAAATTGTTGAATACGATGTCATTTTGATGGACTAAAATCTTACCCGGTAAGTAAATGATAGTGTTAATTTTGCCGGTAAGCACTTACCGAGTAAGTGTTTGGTAAACGGCCACCAGTTCAATTTTTTGGCAGATCTGCTGTACCTTTGCATCAATTATACAGTCTTGATATTTTTTTAGTTTATCAATCTTTCAACTATTTCAGAGTATTCGCAATGCTAGGTTCGAGTGAATTTCTCTGTATCTTTGTAAATTCTACATTTCTCATAGTGAAACTTACTCCTCTCCCCATGATATGGGCTATACGAATATCTCTAATCAAGTGATTATGTTTACCAACCAACCATTGTACTAATTGTTTTTTTGCAAACTGAGCATCATTCTTGCCAAAATATAAGACTGCTACCAAATGGCTTTTGGTTCAGCAGTGTCCGGTAACCCAACCTTTCTAAGGGTCAAAGGGTTCCAACCTCACTAAAACTTAAAACATGTGTGCGACTTCCATTTACCGTATATAAATATTATATACTTCCAAAAAGATATATAAGATCACTATGCTTTATAAGCATGAGTGATTTTCGATGACTGGAAATGTAAATGCAAAAGAAAAAACCCACCATCCTTGGCATTTGTAGTAAAAAATATTACACATCTTGCGTAGTGTAGTCTTCTTTCTTTACTCATGTACGCAAGAACAATGGTTTGTATCTATTCATGTCTTATTATATGGTTTCTCTTATCAAATTTGAGCTTCTGGGTCTTTTTTTATATTCATGCATAATTTTCTGTGCAGACGGGTAGAGCCATGGCTCGTTCTCTCAATGTTGTACAAACATCGCATTCCTATGTCGATTACATGCTTCTTTCAAAGGCGGCTGATTCTGGACAGGTACATCTACTTTTGTTACAAAATTATGTATCAACAGGGTGTGGACCCACACGTAGTGGTGCATTTGAGCCGAGCCTAGGTTTGCTTGGTTTGAAGCTTGTTGTGAAAAAATTGGTATGCTCGGCATCGGCTTGTGGCTTGCTGAGCTCTGAACACTCAAGCTTGGGCTCGGCTTTCCCAAAATCTCGAGCATTGGGTTGGCATGTAGTTCCTATGGGCACATATGAGCTCAAGCCTTGGCTTGACTCACATAGGCCGGTTCTTATTTGCTCCTCTGAAACTAAAATAAAACCCCTTTAAATAACATAAATAATGAACCTTTATGAAAAGAGTTACAATTATAAATGGCCAAGAGATTAATTACAATTTATCTTAAAGGTTTCAATTTGTTTCATAGAAGTCTTTGGGGTTGTTTCGTTTATTTCAAGTCAACTTAAGTTTTCTTCATACTTAAACATGAATGTTCCATCCTTTTTACAGGAAAATCCATCGCACTTTATGGTTGAAATGGCAAATATTCAACAAGTGAGTTTATATCTTCAATTTTATGTCTTTACTAGTATCTCGTTTTTCCAATTAAAGTGTGAATCTTTGAGCAACAATTAAGGTTTACTCCTTTAGGGTGTGTTTGGTACACAGTTAAGACAAAACAAAAACTTGCCCCACGCTTGGCGTGGCAATTAGACTGGACAGAATCGAGTGGGACAAAAATGCAGTTTTTTTTGTCCCACCGATATAAGGTGGAACGAGAATCATGGAGATGGGATAAGATGTGTAAATTACTAAACCACCCATGTCAAATTAAAACTTTAAAACCTTCTACAATTTTTTCACCCACCTTTCTGACTCTAGCCAATCCAGTCAAACACACCCTAATACAAATGAAGGTTCATGAGTTCGACATGCAAAGATAGCCTTTTTGCAAACTGCAAGGGGAAGGCTGCATACAATGATTCCATCCCTAACCCTCACAAAGCACAATAGCCTCTTATTCCCTTCAAAATGTTGACAATATTGGTCTTCATATGGTTGCTTAATTGAGATGAAAATTTGTGTTTTTTGTGTGTTCAGTCCTTCCATTTGAGCTCTTCGGAGGCTTTAGACTTCTTGGATAGATTTCTTTCCATGAATCCAGATCCCAGGTATGTTATCATTATATCTTTTTTGTATTCATGTTCTTTTGTCCTTTTTGCATGTTGGTGGCATTTAGAAGCCGTATACCAACACATTGGGTAAGCGCTAACCGAGTAAGGGGTCGTTTACCAAACGCTTACCCTGGTAAGCACTTACCAATGATCATTACCTCACCGGATGAATATCGTAAGAACCAAGAATCTTATCCGTTAAGAGCGAGACAAGAAACATAAGTCTTACCCGGTAAGTAAGGACGACGACTCTTACGACAGTAAGCGCTTATCGGGTAAATTGTTGCATATGATGTCGTTTTGGTGGACTAAAATCTTACCCAATAAGTAAATAATAGTGTTAAATTTTACCAGTAAGCACTTACCGGGTAAGTGTTTAGTAAACGGCCCCTAAGAATGTGGTCTGGGTAAGAGGTCCGGTCAGGGTAACTGCTGACTGAAAATGATTGTTTACCAAGTGTCTGGGTAAGCGCTGGGTGAGTCAGACAACAACCCCTTCCTTGCAGGGTCAATATCTCTGTCAGCATATTTGTGGGTCAGAGTGTGTTGGTAAAATCACATCCCTTCTCACCGGGTAAGCACCTCTTACCCGGTAAGAAGCGGTCAACAGGCAGTAAACAACCCTTTAGCTTCTTTTTTACGACAGTGCAATGTCCTCACGTCGGGCACTCAGCCACTCACAATTACACATCTTTTAATCTTCAAGTGGATGGGTTTTTAAATCATTATACTTGCAGTTTAGTTACAAAATAAACATTGACATTCACTAGAATGGTTTTAGCTTGCAATTTTCCTAGTTCACTCTTTCATCTTTGCAAATACAGAGGGAGTATGACTATGTTATTTAATGCTCTGTCTTAAATGTTTAACTGTAACTAAATATCTATAATACATTTAAAAGGGCCTTTGGCCTAGCGGTATTGTAGCCCTTGGCCTTCTAGGAGGTCAGGGGTTCAAACCTCACCATAGGTGAGGAGGGTGCGTGAGTTTATTTCTTGTATTTGCCGTATATAAATATTATATACTTCAAAAAAAAAAAAAAAAATTCGGTCTTTTGCATGAACAATTATCAGTGAACTCTTTTAAGATATGCTTGGCACGAAAAATAGTTTAACTTGGACAGTATTATTGTATTTTGAAGGTATAATATCCAACGAAACGAGTAAGTACTAAAAAACTCGAGGATATTTTTTGTACTAAACCAAACTTCAGGGTATTAACATTTAATCAACAGAAAGAAAAATACCTGAAGTTTGATTTATTACAAAAAAACTTCTTCTTCTTTTTAGTAGCTCTATTAATTGAACTGGTTTGTCCTCAAAATGCACTGAAAATGATTCAAAACAAGTATAAAAGACAGTTTGTGTGAATTTTAAAAGTTGAGTGTCATATTTGTTAAATTAATTCAATTATGGTTATTCATACAAATGGCAAATAATTAAGTGATTTAGGTAAATCTTCTAGAAGAGGAAATTTTGCAATTTTATGTGACATTAAGATATCTTGGAACTCAAGAAACACAAATCCTGTTGCAAGTGAAGATGAGTTTTAACTCCCACTTTTCTAGAACTAAAGTCCATTTGCAAAGATCAACTTATGTGCGTAATTGGGAGTGGTCGGCGTGGGGACATTTTTGTCATTCTACACCACGGGATTCCTCTTATATAGTGGTCAGCTTGGGGGACATTTGTGTCATTCCACACCACGAGACTCAGTATTATAGAAGTTATTCTTTGGCTAAGTTAAGACTAGTTTTGGGAACAAATGATGTCAAGATATGGATGCTTAAGATATAATCTAACCGGAACCGAACCAATTTCTTTTTTTGTTAATTTTTCAAATTAGAAAACCCCAAGTTTGTATTTAGTTCACAGTCTGAACCAAACTAATACTGAAACGGTTATAGACTGGTCTGGTTTTTTGTTCTATTATTATATACTTTTAGTTCTGGTATGGTTCGTCCAGTCCAATTCTAACTCGTTGAACACCCTAAAAAACACTTCTATACAGGCGAAATTTTAACAATGCTATTTCTAGATTCGTAACAAAACAAGGGTAGTTAAGGAATTTCAATGGTCTTCTTTAACGACTATCGTGTTCGCAGTGGAAAAGTCAAAATTCAAGATTTCTTGAGGGCTTTCAGATTAAAGGCTTGTGGCCTCTCCGAAAAGGTCAGTAAGAAAATCGCTTCTAATTTTGTACATTTCTTTATTTAGCACCATTCTAAACTAAAATTACTGATATTTGCCATTCTCATAATCATGAATGCGTTGAAACGATTTATTTTGATTCTAAAGATTCGGAGGGCAGTTTTGTGAAGTGCATAGCTTATAGTTGCATTGTCTCTTTTTCACAGATTTTTGAATTCATTGATGTGGACAAGAACAGGAAAATTACCTTTAAAGAGGTAACTTTGTGTGCTGATCCATGTATTGTTAATGGGTATTTTCGTATTTACACCAAGATCCATCGATCTTTCGAGGCTTATAGGTTTTAAATCATGCAGTTCTTAGTGGGATCAGTTCATATACTGAAGCAGCCATTATTCAGACAAGCTTGCGAAGCAGCCTTCACTGAAACCGACATGGATCAAGATCATTACATATCCGAGCAAGAAGTAATATTTTCCCCCTAATTCGTTTGCTTTTTGTTGTTGAACACGGTCATTCTAAAGCCATGTATGGCAAACTAGCTGGTAAGCTAGCCGTTGGTTGAAAAGATTCCATCGACTAATAAGCTAGTCGTTAACCAATAAACTACCCATGTTTGGTAAAAACTAGCTAATAAACTAGATGACAATGTAAAATGAGCTAAAAGGACATGCTGAAATAAATTTTAATATAACAAAGGGCATAATTGGAAAAAGAAACCCAAAGCTTATTGACGCGCTACTTGAAGTATTTTTTTCAATAAGCTAACTTATGGTTGATGAAACGGTGGTCTTCAATAAACTCAAAAAATAAGCCAGCTGATGGTTGTTGCCAAACATGGCCTAAGTTGTGAAGTTATTGGTTTCTTGAATTTGCCGCAGCTTGGTGCTTCATTGTTGCCCGCCATTGGAAGCTTAAGCACGGATGAGGTAAGTCGTTGCCTCTAATCTTTTCAAAACCGAGTTTATGCTCGTAACATTATCACCAGGTGAAAATTACAATATTGCAGATACGTTCGCTGTTCAATCTCTTTGACGGGGATGGCGATGGTCGGATCAGCAAGGGCGATTTCATAATTTGCTTAAGAAGAAACCCATTGCTCATAGGACTTTTTTCTCCCCATTTCATGCATAAAGACTTGGATCTAAATGCAGCAGCTGGTTTCTTGGAGGAAACTGTGTGATGGAAGGTTTTTCTCTCATGGAGTTTTTGCCCTTATAGATGGACAATTATGTAATTTACTTACAAAAATATATATTGATCACATACTTTTACAAAATTTATTATTAATTTTATTATTTCTTTCTAATTCTTTTTTTAAGTTATTGAGCATAAATTATTCATAACTAGAAGGGTACTCGCACAATACAGCGAGAAACATCTTTATCTTAATGTGTCGTTTTTTTTGCCTCAGTTGATGTTATAATACAATTTTATATGGTTTTGAGAAAACTAATGTTTTTATTTTTAAATAAAATCTAAATCTGAAGATATATTATAAAAAATTGAAAGAAAATATTGATATTAGTATCAAACTAATTATTTAAAATTTATCATTTTCATTTTTTTTAATTTTTGGTTTAATAATATTTTTTTAAGATAATAATTAAGTATTATGTTAGAACTTAATGATTATCTTAATTATATTTTGGATTTTTTATATTTAAAATGATGTTTATCATGTATTTGAATGTGTTTATGTAGTTAGTTACACGAATTAAAACATGGTGTTTTAATAAGATGTACTTACGCACATTCTGCTTGTAATCTTGAATTTTAAGTAATATGCATCAATAAACAGTACTTTGTACATAAAAAATAGTTTTTAAGAGTTTTTGTCAAATGTTTTGTAATATATTATAGATAGTCAAGACTTAAAAAGCTTTTCATTAGCGAGTATTGTGAGCCATCCAGGCCCAAACACTAAATTTTTTGGTTGTATGTTTGGGCTTTGGCCCATTATAATATTTAACAAAATGAACCAAAAACAAATTAATGTCCATGCTCTCATCTAAAACCAAAAAAAAAAAAAAAAGAAAACAAATATTTTTTTGGAGTATCGATATCGTTTATCGTATAATAAGGTTCACGATACCGACCCGAAAACGATCGTTATTTTATTTTAACTTACCGTTTATCGATACTCGGATGAAAATCCGATTAAAAACAAGACGTTATCAATTCATAAGTCCACACTAATACTTAAAATACTCGGTCTTTTTTGGCAATTATAAGGTATTATAAAACCAATATCGAATTTATATTTTATTTTTTTCTAAAAAATAAATATTAAAAAACAAGAGGGAAACATGATAAATAGATTATTGGAGGGTTTTTCTGGAATCGAATATCTAGAGAAAAAAAAATTGGGTGAATAAAATAAAAAAAAAAATTTAAAAAATCAAGAAACTGAATTCGAAATTTCCACTCCATTCAATGATCAAAGGACCACATCTTAATCAAATTACAAGATCTACTCTTAATTATTTATGGAATAATTGCATTGCACGCCTAATGGTCCCCCTTTAAACCCCTCTTTCCCCTTTTCCTCTAACAAATTTTACATTATCTTGTCTGTATTCGTTTTCAGATCTGATAAAAGTAAGTACGTGTTTCTTTTACTGTATCTCTTATGATTTACTTCACCATATCCAACTGTCTTATTCAAACTTAAAAAAATCTATGCATTGCTTGATTAAAAGGTTCATTTAATTAAACCAGTATATTGTCTGTGCTTTGATAACAGCCTTTTCGTACGTGATTACAGCTGTATCAAAGATGTTTTATAAGAAAAAGGTGGATCGGTTTGCAACTTGCATACTTTATATGCTTTCAGTTAGAAATATATTCGATCTAGTCATGATATATATATAAGTATATCAAAAAGGTTCAAATACAAACTATGTAATTCTTACAAATTCTACAAACCTAATCTCAACCCTTGATTTTGTTTATTTTAAAATTTAGATATGGTTATAAAATACTGTTGAAAGTAAATTTAGGAACTGATTTAATCCACACCGTTGATTATCTAAATGTACGGATGAAATCGATTTATAAAATTTGTAAGAATTAAATGGTTTGTATTTAAAATTGTTCCGACGTATATAAATACGGAGTTGATTTGTGGTTGAGGAATAAAGTTGGTATACAAAAATAACCAAAAGGTAAACCTTTGTTTAATGAGCCGCCCCATCCACTTCGTTCCACAATATCCAAATTTTGGATTCAAACTCAAAATTTATAGATTATTACACCTTAATTAAATGTACTTATATATATATATATATATATATATATATATATATATA